TGTTGGCGGCCTCCTGGAGCCGCAGCCGGCGCTCCTCCATCTTCCTCTGCAGCTGGGCAGCAGAGTCAAGGGGCCGCAAGGTCTGACCGAGCGGGTCCTCCGCCCCTTCCCTGTCCCTCATCCGCGGGGATGCCCCAGGGGTCCAGCGGGTGGGCAGGGCTGGAAGGAGGGCACCACTTAGGGAGGGCATCTGGGGGAGGGAGAGTGGCTCGTGCTGGGCGGGGCGGGACGCGGCCACCCCAGGACATGCCGTCCCCACCCCTCGGTGCCCTTCTCCGCCTTCATGAGCGCAGCGTGGTCAGAAAGGATGCCGTCTCTTCCCGGGCCTTGGCAATCACCAGGTTTTCCATCATCTGCCGCTGCAAGGACAGGGTCTGGGGGGTGGAGGGAGTGAGGCCGTGCCACCCCGCCCAGGGCCTGGGGGTGGAGGGAGTGAGGCCATGCCACCCCGCCCAGGGTCTGGGGCCTGGCTGGGGCAGGGAGTGGGGGCACGAGGCCATGGCCACCAGCCTGGTCCTCCCTGTGCCCTGCTCACCAGGGATGTCTTCTGCACAGCCTGGCTGGGGTCCAGGCGGGCCACGCGGGCCTCATACGTGGCCTTCAGCTTCTGGTTCTGCAGGGAGGCCTCTTGTAGCGGGGTCAGCTCTCTGCAAGTGAGAAGTGACACCTGACAAGCTGTGTCAGGCCCAGCGAGCCCAGGGTGGTCTGCTACCTCAAAAGCTCCCTTCTCCCCTGCTCGCTCTGAGGCCAGGAGTGAGGTGTAGGTATAGGGCTGTCTGGAGGCTGGAGACCTGCCCTCTCATCTCAGCCCCGAAAAACCCTGGGTTCAGTATGGGCAGCACCTGATGTCTGCATCTGCACTGCAAAGCCATCTGGTGTTTGGCAACAGTGTCAACTACAAAGGCACTGAGGCCACACAGCTCAGTCCGAGCCATGCAAGGGAGACCTGCCTGAGGGCCCGACCACGGCCGCCATGAGCTTCAAGCCTGTGTGTCACAGCTTTCTTCTTTCAGGGCAGCAGAAGATTCGCCGCTGGGAAACTAGGCTGAGGAGGGAGTCTGTCCCGGGACCGAAGTCCTGCGCCCGGCCCGGCCCTGCCGCTGTACACGCAGGACTGAGGGGGCCGGGCGGGGGCTTCCTGTTTGCCCTACTTGGAATGCTGGGCTTCTCACATCTGCATCTTGGGGTTTCTCATCGGTTCTGGTAAACTGCTATTTCGTGAGGGAGACGTCTAAAAGTTTGTGGAAAAATGGAATCAAAGTGGGTAGGAAAAGCCCTGAAATCCACAGTTTTGAAGCTCCCTCACATCTTCAAATAATGCCTTTTGCTTTCTTTATCTGTGCGATAGGGTGTGTGCACTCACAGGAGAGAGAGGAAAAATGAAAAATTGCCCCCAGGGAAGACCTGACTGCAATCCCATCTCCTCCATTCTCAGGACCTGGGCATGCGCGTACACCTGCCTTACAGGATTCCTACTTGGTCCTGGACTCCAGTTGCCACGTGAGAGTCCACTGCCCTAACACCATGCTACCTGCTGGCCCGAACCGACAGCTTCAACTCACACCAGACACGTGTGTGTGCGTGCGTGCCCAAGATCCCCAGAGGATAATGGAGAAGGGATTGCAGCGTGGCCATCGCCCTGGGGTGATCTTTTGCTTTCCATCTCTCCAGTGAGCACACGCACCCCATAGCAAAAACCTCTCTTAAAAAAATAAAAGAGCTTCTCCAAGAAAACACCAATTGGCAGATCACACCACTGCAGCAGCTGGGCCCGGAGGCCCAGAGGCCCTGGGAGAGGAGGCCGCGGCCGCAGAGCTCACAGAGGCAAGAACAAGGAGTGGACCCCGGTCACCAAGCTGCGCCTCCTGGCCAGAGACATGAAGACCAAACCCCTGGAGGACCTCTCTCTCTTCTCAGCCCCTCGTGTCCCTGTCGGGGTCACCGACCATCTCCTGCCCTGCCGTGTCCCTGTTGGAGCCACTGACCATCTCATCAAGACCTACAGCAGAGTCTCAGTGCAGAGAACTCAGGCTCTGGCTATGGCCACAGCATGGGGTTTTCCTTTTCTTTATTTTTTTGAGAGGTTTTTGCTATAGGGCACGTGCACTTGTGAAAGAGACAGAGACAGAAAGCGAGAAGGCCATGCTATAATCCCTTCTCCTCTCGGGATCTTGGGCACACATGCACACGTGCCCGGCATGAGTTTAAGCCACCGGGTCCAGGACTCAAATCGTGGTCGGCTACATGGGAGTCCAGTGATGTAGCCATTACACCAATTGCTGGTCCCTATGGAGTTTTAGTACAGTGAAAATGAAGTGAATTGATCCTGAGAAAAGAAATAAGTAAAAAAATAGTAATTTATTTTACTTAATTATTGTTTAAGCTTGCTATAGGGCACACACTCACTAGAAAGAGACAGAGAGAGAGAGAAGGAAAGTGAGAAAGCAAGCGGCCAGGTGTGGGACTGGACCTGCGGTTGACTGTAGGAGTCCAGCACTGTAACCATCATGCCACCCACTGGCCCCGTCTCAAGTTTTTGGAAAATAGTTTTAATAATGGGTGACCTGACGGTGTGGTGGTGCAGGTGGCTGGATCCTAAACGTCCGACAACACGGACCAAGTCCCAGACCCCGGTCCTGAGAGGAGGGTGAGAAGGGACTGCGGCATGGCGAGCCCCACGGGGAGCTTTCTCATTTCCCTACCTTTGTCTCTCCCGCAAGTGCACATGCTCTACAGCAGAACTTAAGATGAAAATAATTCAGTATTGCATTTTTTGTCTCATTTCTACTTGGCTCTTCTTTACTATGTCAGTTTTCATAGCTACTTGCTACTTGTTCCTGGGAGTATTTTCAAAACTGCCTGCTTCTTTAAGGAGAGAAACTTCCCAACTGCCAGCCCCCCGGGAGACTTTGCAGCTGTGTCTGCCACGTTCCTTCGGTGTCTCTCGGCTCCTTCTGTGCTTGGTGGTCTTTGGCTGCGTTCCAATCACTTTGGGAAAGACGGAGCTGCTTTCCTCCAAAGAGGACTTCATCTGCTTTGGCAAAAGGGTATTTCCGTCCGGAGACCCAGTGAGCTAATTCCAGCACAGGAGCTCACGCTGCTCAGCCTCCACACCCAGTTCTCAGGCTCAGCCCACCTCCCAGTTCGGCCCTCTTACTTCTTGGAGTTCTGTGATTCCACCACCTGCAGCTTCTGGAAGACCTCAGGGGGCAGAAAAGGCGAGAGCTTTCCTCCTTCGTCGGAGCACACCCGGCGGTGCCGGCTGGTAGAGGAGGGGACTGGGGCCGTCGTGGGCGCAGCTGGCTTGAGACGGGGCTTCCCTGCAGGCCACATGTAGGTGGGGTCAGGGGGTAGCTTGGCATCCCACAAGGGAGGTGTAGACTTGAGGGATGCCCCAGGAGACCCACCGAGCTTGGCAGCTGTCGACTGGGCTCTCTCTAGACACTGCTCGGCCAGTTTCAGCATCTTCGAGGTGTCAGGGGGCACCGTTTCCCCAGCCCCTAGGGAAGGGACGAGAAGATGGCTACAGTCAGCTCCAGCCCCTAACCAGACTGTGGCTAAGGTAAAGTCGGGGAAGTGCAGAAGCTGGGCAGGCCCACTGGCACTCCACTCCTCTCTGCCCTGCTCTGGGTCCATGCCATGAGCCGGGGCAGGCTCCATGCTGGCTAGTCCAGGTCAGACCAGTGCTGTGGCCCTCACCAGCCTGCACCTCAGACCACAAAAGGGCCTCTGTTCCTCACTGAGGGTCCCACTTGCAGCCACGGCCCTCGGGGGTGGGCCACGTAGCTGCCACAGGCATTCCAGAAACAAGGAGAGCAGAGGGCCCCCGCCTTATCTCCCAGCAGCTGTGTGCACCATGGGCCTGTCCTTGGGGGGACACCCAGCATCCCTGGTGTCCCTGTCACCTGCTTGCTTAACTAAAACCCTGCTGGCCCTTTCTCCCATGAGGTACCACTCCTCTGGGCAGGCACACCCTGGGGGAGCTGCCAGCCCTTGCTCTGGGCCCACTTCCTGGCCCTCTATGCTAAGCCTGACATGAGGGCCTGTCTCCCTCATTCCAAACTGTTTTGGACTCAGTGCTGCCCCGAGATGGTGCTTCCCCTTCCCCTCCTCCTACCCCTCCACGTGCGGGGTCCTCTGGGACATCACCCTTGCCTGGGCCAACACTCAGCTGAGCTCACTCGCTCTCTAGGTAGTGGGTGACCACCCACTCTCCCTCAGGACTCAGAGCCAACCTCACGCTGTGTTCCCAGGGGACTTTATCCCTCCTACAGCAGCCCTGTTCCTGCCTGCTCAGCTGCCCTCCTCCCACCTCTCACCTCTGACCCCCGTGCAGGCCTCAAAGCCTCTGCAGCCCCCTCCATCCTGAACAACTCCAGTCCCGCCCAGGCACACAGTCCTGCCCACGCCGACCTCCACGCATCCCTGCCACCAGGTCACACTGCAACGGCTCACACCAAGGGCTCACTGGCCCGCTCAGGGGCACGGGAGGGGTGACGGCAAGCCTGAGACCCATACTTTTACTCGTCTCCGCCTCTTCCAGCAACACTTGGGAGATGTAGTGGATGCTCCTCAGATACTCCGCATAGGCCTCCTGTGGCACGGAAGAGGAACAAGGAGTCAGGCCAGCAACAGTGAAGACCCACCCCAGTCTGGTGCCTCCTGGTCGCTGGGAGAAGTCCAGTCTGTGGCCAGCTGGCTGCCAGAGCTCTCCCAGGTCTGGGCAGAGTGTCCACCTGGAGCAGCATCCTCACTCTCCGGGAGTGCTGCTCCAGCTCATCCTCTGCGGCTCTGCAGCAGGCCAGCTCAACCCTACCCACAAGACCATCCAGACCCCCGCCAAGGGCCTGGGGAGCAGGCTGGGGCTGTGGCCATCTCTCTGCCACCAGTTTCCTTTCTGTGCAATCCAAGGGCCTTTATTCAGTGGTTAAAACATTCCTGAGAGGTTCAAGAGGGAGGCTCATGGCCTGGGGTCCCTGTGGCTGACCAGGGCTCCCCGACGGAGCTCAGGGCATCTGGACACACGACACGCTGTGAGTGTCCGGCTTCGTTTAACGTGGCTTTAAGTCCACACCTCGGGCATACGCACGGACGCACTCAGGGCCTGAGGCTCGGCGGCAGGGACTTGGACCGCGCTGCACGAGCAGACCCGCGGCGCCTGGGCGAACCGGCACCCTGGCGGCCCGTTCCCGACTCCCGGAGCGGACTGGCCGCCCGAGCCCAGGCCCGAGCAGACCCCCGCCCGGCGCCGACTCGGCCCC